TAAAGAAGATCACAGCATAGCAACACTCAACACGCACCAATGTTCCACTGGTATATGGATGCAAAACCATCTGCAATAGAACCAAAAGCAACATGACGTGAACAGTGAGGCCTGCAGAGTGACTAGGCGGCACTACTGGTGCCATATTATGCTGGTCTCTGGAAAAACCGATCTCATCATCGGTTTTTATGTCTACGCTACAAAGCATGCGACCTCGATCGCCTGAATGTTGTTTGTGACAAAACGTGCAATTGTCATATTGTACGTTTTACGAATCATCGTGTGTGAAAGTTATCAGACTTGTTGACATGTAAAAAGAGACATTTGTGCAAAACCAATGTCGGGTCCTTTAGTTATCACTTTTCAGTATATATGGTACATCGTTTGATTGTTTAGTTAATGAATCTTCCAAATAAAACAATATCGGACATTTCTTTATTCTTCAGCAATGCAACGGCAAATTCATCTCCAAGTGAACAGTATGGGGAATGTTTATGAGCGTAATGGAAAGAAGAATTTCATCTTTCACCAACGGAAATTTTTCATATCAAAACACAAATGTGAAACATTCATTATTTGTTTGAACAATACCTGCATAAATCCTTTTCTCTGGTTGTTTGGAGAATAGAAATATTAATGGTCCCTAAGTAGGCCTATTCTGTCCGCTACTCTGCGAATCAGATTCGTGTCTAAAGCACCTACTGGTCGTTTTGTGTAATGTTAGACTGGTTCCCGTCCCTATATTATTTTCCTTTTTCTTACTGTGAATGACATGAAATGGGGGTGAGAGCCAGACAAGGGAAGTTCTAGTCAACGGTGCCCGATGAATAGAACGAATAATGCAATGACATGTGATCAACGATCTACCAATCAGATGACGGGATTTATGCAGTAATTTCATAAAATCGTAGAAACAGTGAAGAGCACTGCCAGCTACTACTTTCGTTTCAAAGGACAATTTGAAACGTGGGGACACGAATCTGTCAAGCAATTGGAAGAGACAATTTTATCCATTAACGGCCTGGGGCACCAAACTTCCATAGAAACGCTTATGCAGAGCTACGTTATGGGTTCGATCTTGCCGCGCCATGTTGGTTCCCACCAGGCCTTGCGCTATCCAGCGTAGGAACGGACATGTAGGCCATGGAGTCGAGGTTGTCTATAGGCACCTTTCCATAATTATGTACATTTTATGGTGCGTTGCGTAGGCGATGCGTTCATGCGTTTCACTTTCACGGACACAAAAATCGTCTCCATTAACATAACACACGACCCGTGTGCGTTGCGTTCACCCCAAGAGCGATGTTGATGGATACGCAACGCTTGGCGCAAGAGCTGACACGAATATGTAAAGGTGCCTTTATACAGCGATGCTTTCAGTGGAGCCAATCTCACAAGTGTTCTTTTACAAGGCATGGCCTGCATTTTTTGGTGATTTGAAAAATTTCTCGGAGAGGTATTCAACGCGCTGGAATTGGGTAGTTCCCTGCTTTCCGGACCACCTTCGAATCAAATGTTTGCAAGTTAGCCGAGCCCCATAAATAACCATATGGAATTTTATATTGAGTTCCGCCTCAAGATTTTCGCGTCCCGCGTCCATTTTGTATGTTTTAAATTGGACAATACTATTTATGTCAGTGGAAAATACCTCCCAAGCTGCGTTGACGCGATTTTACCGCCAATTTCATAGAATAACGGCTAAAATAAGTTAAGCAAAGACTTTTGCCAGCAATTTGCAATTTTTGAACGCCCCAGCTCGTTTTTTTACTTGAATGCTACCGATAAGTCAAACCCTAAGAAGATTATATAATCTTCATATAGGCCTAGTCTTTCTCCCCCCAGATCGTCCACATTCTTTGATTCGAGACAAATAGCAAGGATTTTATACATGATCATCATAAATGTTGAGACCACGGTGGAGACATAACTTCCCTAGATCGGACACTACAAAATATTTGCTAGTTACAATCTTTGAATGTCACATATTATCCTTGTCGTTCCTTCAAGTTTGAAGCACATGCTTGAAAATTCCTGTTTGAACAGCAAGTAATCAACAGAAGAGCACACAACCCCATTGGGATAAGCGCCTGCTGGATGGGTGTCGTTGGCATAGGCCTAAATTGTTACACAGCTGTTCGACTTGACGTTGAGTTGTGAATTTTATGAAGTGCTTCATGATAGAAACCGCGCGCGTCATGTCGACACTTGTGCGTGCTTCTAACAGCAATAGAGGTTTTTCACGTGACGTAACAGAACGGGCAAAGGTATCTCGGGGAACATACCATTTTTCATGTTCATGGAGGCGTGTGCATTTTCAAATCTGTACTGTGCATCTTTTTAGCAGTTTCATGTACGCCAGAATGTTCAGAGACTTCGAAGGCACGCGCGTTTCTACGCATATCCGTGTAAACTGAACGCTAACCGACCAAAACAAAAACAAAGGTCTTTAGACGCAACGTTGGAAACGCCTTTTAAATTGTTTTCTTGAAAATGACAGCTTGCCACACAGGGAGTTTAGTCCCGTAACCATCTGTAAACCAATTCATCAAAATCTTCGTCAGTTCCTTTTTGGATTACTGCAAAATATGATGGACTGAACCTTAATGAATGGCAACATACCCAGCTGTATCATTAGTAGAGTATAAAGAACTGTTTCTTGGAGGGACTACAATTAGACTGCCAACATATCGAGCATCAAGGGCTGGTTAGTTTCAGAAATTCTGTGAAAATGTGAAAAGACAAACAGCAACAAACTCTCTTTATTCACCCACCGTATAACTAATCAACATAACTGTTTTGTGTTGAACAATCAATATCTTGTAAATTGAAGCGAAGTCGTAAACAAGGAGCTATATTACACCATTTAATAATACAACCATAAATCTATATCAAATGATTTAATATAGCCCCTTGTTTACAACTTGGCTTCAAAATGCTCCAGTACACCTTGGCCGTCGGGACTCATAAAAAGCTTGTAGTAATCAATAAGAATCGATATTTCAGAAATCGATTGCTTGACATAACGATACGACAGTTAGAAGTTACAGGTTTTGCATCCTTATCGTCATAACGTGATGGTAGTCGCTCCCAGGCTTGAAATCTTGGATACAACCATCTCGCCATGTGCATCACATTGCAGCATGTGCTGTACGGAGGGTGGGGGACGAGGCACGCCCCCAAGCGGAGGTCCGTTGTGTAGACTGAGAAATGCGCACATTTTACTTACGTGCCGCTGTTCACCACCTTTCGGAGCCCCTGAAAAAAATGCGCGCATTCCAGGGTCTTCCTTAAAAGTTCACCCTCCGCTGTTTGGGAGGGCCGTGGGGGGGAATGTTTCACTACTAAATCCGCATTATTTCACAAATGGACTAACAATGAAAGGATAATCACACAAACGAGGAACTGGTTACATACTTTTTTCCTAGATAAAAAAGAACATTGATGGAACCCTAGTGTGGTTCCGTGCGTGGACCTCTTCGAAGTCTGTCTCGTTAAAACGTGACACACTTTCAAGCGCTCGACGCTCCCTCCCCCGAGTTCCCATTGAACAACAGATGCCCTACACGGCGGTTTCCATCAAAACTCACGCACCTGCCGTTCCAGGTTTCCTGCATACATCATTCATAATTCTTCTCTGCACTGTGCTGCCACAATATTTGGCTGTGCGCCGTCAAACCTTTTCCACAAAGACCGCTGTAGGACCCATCATTAATTCCTTCTTATTAATACAGGGGTAGAAAACCCTGTCAAATTTGAGCAAGTTCGTCACGGTCTATTCATCGAATAAGCCTGGTTCTACTAGTGTCTTGATTGCATCAGGCGTCTGCCAATCTTGTTAATTATTTCTCACGGCGCCCCAGATCTTTTATCTTTTTATTTCTATTTTAGATGATTGATGTCATTTTCATGACAACATGACTTATTTATGAGTTGGGATCAGCAACTTTCGATTAAGAATAGAGACCTGGAAATAAGTGAGGTGGCATAAGCCTACGCCCAGGAGTGAAGGAAAAGAAAAATACCAAACAAGCAAAAATTAAAAATTTACAAAAGTTACCATGAAAACAGACGAGTGCCAAACCTCTAGATTGCTTTCACGTGCTAGAATGTTTCAGCCATTTGTTAAAATGCTAAAATGTTTTCAAACACAACTGCAGTAGAAATTTAAGCTAATTATTGGATTGAGCATGGGCCACTTTTTAATCCTTTTTCTGCAATTCCATAGCTCAAGGCTATTTAATATATGAATATGTTTTCCTGCACATTTTCAAACTTTTTTTTCATATTTAAACTGTTTTTGTTCAAATTCCTTCTCGTAAGTTCACAACGTTTTCAATTCCATGTTTAATTTTGTCTTGGATCGTGAATTTTTTACATCTTGTTCAAACCATTTCATACATTGGCCAAACAGTTTCGAGAAAGACAGTCCAATACCCTCGTCTGCAATTGACGAGCGTTCGCAATTTCGTCACTTTGAAATCAATGCTGCTATCTTCCATATTTTAACTTTTTCATTTATTCATTTCCAGTGACGTAGAACTGCGCTGGAAATGGGGGGGGGTTGACTTGCTCAGCCATGGAAATTTAAAAAGCGTGGGAAGAGGGGGGCACCGTATACACTATACATGGGCGATGTACATAATAAAGATGTACGTCTGCAATATGTGTTACATTCACGCAGAATCTTACATCAGAAAGGTAAATTTATGGCTTTTGACGACGTTTTCCCCTTTTAAGTGATAATGCAAACATTTCAGTCGTTGGGAAATCAAAAAAATCTTCATAAACCGCTACATTTTTTTAAAAACTCATCATAAAAATGTGAGGGATGATTCAACAGCGCACCCCCCAAAAAAGTGGAGGGATATACTCCCCCCCCCCTTTTACACCCATGTACTTTATTTTTGCGTTTCTGTTTAACGTAGGTCTTTCATCTTCCACATTTGTGCGTCAACTTGAAGAAAAAGGGTACACAAAAAGGCAAATGGAAACACTTTCCATTACTTTCCAACAGACTTTTCATTCCATGGAATAAATAAATAGGCTTATGTCCTCATGAAAAAAAGAAAATGTATTTATATTTTCAAATCTTTCAGAAACAGTTGATTCGGTTCTTTTCTTGTCCTTAAAACTGGTTGCTCAGCCTACAATTTCTCGTCTTGCAACACACCGTGCCTAGTAGGTCTGTAAATGGTTGTATACATTCTATGAACCTGATCAAACATTCTTGAAATAGACCGAAAAAAGACGACTTCAATCTTTACATTATGTAGAGACTAGAGTAAACAAATTACATTCAAATATGACGACATTGAATGAACATATGTGGAAAAGGATCCACCACTGATCATTTGGAATGACTGATTCCTAAATTCGCTGAAGCATTTGCATCTTCCAGTCCTCTCCAGACGAATTAAAAGTTCAGAACTTGGGAACGTTAACAAAAAATGGTGATTATTTTATTTAAGTGACATTTTGGAAAGTCTAGTGTATCTTTTGACTGAACGATTGAGAAGAAACGTCCGAACTCAGTCACACACAAAAAACCAACGTTCCTTGGTTGGCATCGCTCGTGAAATGAGCGTCAAAGTACCCGTTTTTTTCCGTTTGTTTTGTTTTTTTCATCAAAAAACCCCCGTCCTCTCAAGGACGCTGTAACTGATTACAATTTTCGATTTTCGGTTGAAATCATCAGCGAAAACATTAGATTTTTTCGATTTGAACATCTACTTGAAAAATTGGCTGGTAGGTAACGAGATACTACACACACTGTGAACTGCATCAGTGTTTGGCAAACATGTGGAGAGATATTATACAGGAACGCGTTAAGGGGAAAGGCATCCACAGGAACCCTGTACATTTAACACTCAGCCAGTTTTGTAAATTGTTTAAAACTCACGCTACACTGTCTTTTACTGCATTGCTAATTCTGTTGGTTTTTGCTGCCTTTAAAAACGAAATTTGATTCGAGTTTTGTATTTGAAGAGAGGCAGGTGAAAAAGAATAATGATGCTGAGTGATTCTTATATTGTCACGGGTCAAAATTCTTCCCTTGTAATCCAACAGCAGCAATTATCTAGTTAAAAAGAAAAGACCAGAAAGAATAAAGCATACCTTGTTCGAAAGGCTAATACCTTCATGTACATTATTTGTGTTTTGTTTTTAATTTCCAATCAGACACATCATCTGGTGTTCGATATTCTATATCTTGCAGATGATTCCATTTTTGGTCAACATTCTTGCAATCAACCTGTTTGCAATCAAGCTCTTTGTTGGTAAGACCAAATCCCAATAGTTTAACAAACTATGCCCCTTTCATACCTTAAATCACCTTAACTTCGGTATTTTCACAAGAAAATAACGATGATAACTGTGTTACTTCATCGCCAACATATTCAACATTGAAAAACCTGGTTCTTATTTGTCCAATTTTATAAACTTCTCAAATTCTTGAACGATACCTTCCACTTCAACTGTAACTGTGTGAGAATTTCAATGAAATTCAAACACATTAATAATCAGAATCTGGCTTGCTGGAACATATTTATGCAAGCACAAGCAGGTAGCTGGCATGTGCATAATAAATAGCTCAATTAACTGTGGCTAGCCAACTGTATCAAGGGTCAACAAAGCCTGTCTGCACCCCAGTGTCTACAAATTCTGCGCGCATGACTGCAAAAAATACAAGCTCTCTCAGTTCTTGTTTACTTAAAAAGACATGTAAATACATGCCATCAAAAATCTCGATGACAATGATTTCCAGAAAGAATTATGCATGCACGGTGCAGGTATTCGAATGAAGGTTACATCAAAAATTACCTCATTTCTCATAAACCTGGTTATGTAACATCTCTAAGATGCAACCAGGAAGAGGAAAATGCTGGTAACAACGAATGAAACAAGTATAAGAATATTAACTATAACATGACACAAAAATCAAAACGAACACTGCTAAGAAATCAAATGCTTATACATAAATATAGTTATAACATCACTGATATCTACAACTACTTCATTTTCTGGACTGTCAGAAACAACTGCCATGCATAGTTAATGATTAGAAGCTACCTGAAGGAACAACTTCAACTCAACATCAAAGATGAACGACATAAAACTTAATGGTCCTAACATGTTTTTAATAGTCAGGATGTGCCCATTTTACGACTGCATAAACAAATCTAAATCTGCATATCAGGGTTACATCCAGTAAGGATGCAGCAGCCTACGGCTCAAGCATTGCAAATCGTCAGGATTACATTTACCCATGGACCTTGTAATTTACCAAGTTACGTAGTTTTCCATACATTATTCAGCAGGATAAAACCTATGAACGTAAAAGCAGGAATTCATAGGAACAAGAAAACCTATCCTTATCACATATTTTTGTCACAGACTATTAGATTGCACCCAAACATTTTCATGAAATTTAACTCATGTCTTCCACATTTTTTTAATATTGAAAACAGTGACAACTTTTAACAAGGAGAGTACTACCAGGGATTCGAGAAATAAGAATAATTCTGCTTCTTAAGACAGTAAAATGAATATTTGCAGGTTAACTGCGGTGCCATGTGATCAAAGTCAAACTGCTAAAAAAGAAAACAAAATCCAATTGAGCAAGAAAAGCATTCGAAAAGCATTCCATATGTTGTCTGCTGATTAATTTGCTTCCACACGATAATCTTCAACTACAAGTCCATTTTCAGTTATGGGTTTCAGCTTGAAATTTCTCGACTTGGAATGGGAATAATGTTTTGTGACCAAAAACAGAATACCTTCTGATGCTTCTCACAAGAAGAAAGCTTGACACGACTTTCTTATCGCTTCAAGCCCACTGTTGTACATCTCAGACTTAAAAGAAAGCATCTTTCATGCTGAATGAAACAACCATTCAAACAACTATCAACTGTGTGAAGCCTCTTAATGAGTGAAATTAAACTGAGACAGTTACCTTGTATAAATCTTGTGTTCTCTGAATCTCTGTGTAGACAACAGGTTTGAAGTTGATGGAATAGGACTGATGAAGGTTGACAACTTCCTCAATTCTTATCTCTTATCCTTCTATGATAATCTCTCTCCTTACTCTTACCATCTTGCTTGTATTTCCGCTCAACAACCATCCGCTGATGGTGAAGTTGTGGGAAATTATCTACAGATAAAAATATGAAATTATAATAAAAGAACTAAATGTCGTTGAGGGGTTTTATCTTTGTGAATAAAATCAAAGACAGCTTGGCATGTTTACTTAACTTTTTGCTTCACTTTAAATAAGGAAAATGAGGAAAAGATAGTGTTGATGGATGTAAAACAGACTTTTACTTACAATTATGAAGGGCATCTTTTGCTGCCTCCATCTGTGCATCTTGAGTACTACAAGAAATGTCAAAAAATGTATTCATATAGTTAAATGGTTTAAAATTTATTCTATCAAAAATGAAACACGAGCTAAGTTACCTTCATGCTCCATAGCATGGTGATAGATTCAAAATTTCATTCCTACAAATTTGGCTTAGACACGACTACATTTTTTTATACCAAGGTATTCATGCCAAAAGTACCGCAACATTTACCGCTACATGTATTGAAGTATTCTTTGTGCGGCATCAAAATGCAGCGGTAATATGCCAACCCTCACTGGGAATGTTAACTACACGACAGCGTTGAGGTTGTTGTCAACATGGCAAAACTCCTAAACTCAAGTATTATCATTTATCAATCAATTTATTTTCTAATAAAAATCATTTACATAATGGAATAATAAAAAACAAAGATTAATTTTGCAAACGATGTTTTGAGGCAAGAATGATGTATTTCAATACATGAAACTATAAAAATGGAAATGACCATGACAAAGCACACTCCTGTGAAACACAATGATAGCGGCAAATAATACAACTTCAAAGGCTTTTGGCTGAAGGGTTGGCAGCTGTTCAAGTTTCATGTTACCAACTTGAGCTGTACAATTATATATCGTCCTTCTACTGTAACTGACAATGCAGATGTGACACTGGATGATTTGGACCACAAAGAATGGAATGAAATATGTTGATAACTGGTGGCTTTCTTTTAGTTGAAAAGAATTTTGCAAATATTCTGAATACATTAGCAAAATTACCATGGAATTGAAATTCCATACTGAATTTAACAGTATTTTGGTATCTATGGATCATCAGTTGGTATGGTTTGGTATTGAACAAAACTATAAATTTTGACCAAATACAGATTTTACAATAATCACTGTCAACCAATTAATGGAAATCTCTTCCACCGGCATCTGTGGCTTACTTTGAAGCACATCCCGTGCCTAGTCGCTTGTCTCTGAAGTAAACGGCAACATTATAGACACGGTTGTTGGTTGGACCATGCTGACTGATGACTCTGAAGAGAAAAATTCACCAACAGGTTGATGTGCCTTCACAAACCCAATATGAATTTGGAAAGGTCAACAGACTTCGTACACCGTCAACACATTGCAAACTCTTGGAGGCACACTGCTGTGAATCGCCATATTGGTTTTACGTTGCATTTCAAACTAATGTGGAAGGTTTAGATGAGGATGAAGACAAACTGAGCCAGAACAATTACAAAAAAGTAAATGTCCATCATACACACTGAATGAAGTCAAAATATTCTTGTTTCAAAACTGTCCACACTGCTAACAAAGAAAGAGGATTGTGATGTCAGTAGACTGCTACTGCCGAGATATGTCTGATGTGAACAAGAAAGACACATCAGATTCACAAAATGACTTGCACTATACCCCCATAAAGGATACCTTGGGGTTTTTTTTTCAGAAACTGAGCAACAATAAAACATTTATCAGAGGTGCAAACATGAATTTCAAGACTTACTTGTACTGGGGTACGTCTGGTTCCTTGCCTTCTGTTCTCAATGTCAAGCAGCACTGTTGAAGCTGAGACTTAGCATCATTCCAGTGCTGACTATAGATGAAATCCTGTGTCAATTATCAATGATTTAAAAAGTAGGTCACTTCAAAACCTGGGAAAAGACACATTCTTGACACAGTTGTCATATCAGTCAAAATCTGTCAAATTTCCCATATGTGTCTGTGTACTGGGGGAAATCAAGTGGAAGGAATTTTTGACTGTTTTTGACAGAGCAAAAGGAGGGTTTTAATATATTGCTTTTAAACTTCTACAACGAATAATATTAAATGGCAGGTTTTATGTTGGAGACAGAGTATGAGCAAGTAAATTATTCCCGCATTTACATGAAACAACTTCAGAAAATAATTACAGTGTAATACATAAAATTGAGCGCTCAGAGCAACCCACATTCCTGTGGGAATTAGCAAGTCCTAAACCAAGCAAAAGCCATTATGGAATGAAGCCAACATTCAGACACTTTCTAGTAAATGGATCATCAATACCAAACAGCAGGAAAACAGTGTGAAAGGAAGGTTAAACTGGCTGCTGGCAATGATGAGAGACGAACAAGTTAGGCATACCTTGAGTCTTGGGAAGAAACAAACTTTACAGAAAACAGTGACTGCTTCAATACCCTGATCTACGTACATAGCACCAACAAAAGCTGCAAAATACAAGTAGGTCATTATCTTAAATGCTAAATAAGGTCCACAACTTTGGTGTCAAATTCATGCATTTTGGAAGATCTATTTTCTTGAACATCTAGGACACTTTCGCATCAAAATATAACATAGCATGTTTCCAAATGTTACCTAGAACTCTGAATTTAATCATAAGAGAAATGTTTAGCCATTAACACCATTTGACAAGAAATATGGCCTCTAAAGAGATGTTAAAGACTGATGGCAATTTACCTTCAAGAAGATCAGCAAGGAGTTTTGTTGGTAGAGGTCCACCATCTTCTAGTGTACGATTCTTTGCATCAATGATATAAGCTGACATACCAAGGTCTGATGCTACTGTTGCCTGTGTCTTGTTGTTGACAAGAGAACTTCGCAGCAGCTAGTAAGAAAATAAACTTGATTGAAGTTTGATTGAAGTTGGTGCATTGTGCAATTGACTGATTGAGAATCAATGGGCTGATCAACTGATTGAACTATGGACTGATTGAACTATGGACTCAATGATTAATGGAATGGTAGACTGATTACTGAATTGATACATTGCTGGAATTATGAATTGCTAGACTGATAGATTTCAGGTTTGATGAGTTAAACGATTGGACAAATGGATGCTGAATCAATCAAATTAAGAGATTGACCAATCAATTAATCAGATTGACCCGGCAAACAATTTAATTGATTGACCAATTGATGATAGGATATGATCAATCACTCTATGGACAGGTAGAGGGATGGAAAGGTAGGAACAAGTTCATTCAGAACATAAGCAGAATTTATGACTAGAAAATGCGTTCCATGAAACTTTTATAATAAGTACAAGAGTGGACAAACACTGAGACACAAGGACACAGCTACTCACAGATAGATGCCCCTCATGATGATTAGGGAAGTGTTTATAGAGGTAGCTAGAGGTGATGAGTTGTAGCACAGTGTCACCTAAGAATTCCATTCTCTGATTGTGACCTCTGAAATAGACATCCAACAAATCAAATGATTGACAATGAAATCAATGAAGAATGCTGTGAAATGAGAGAGAGAGCAGTGTGGGCTACTGACATGGGCGGAGATTCTGGGGATATATCACCCCCACTTTTTGACATGGGGAAAATCATCCCAAGCCTTTTCAAGTTCTTGACTATATGCGCACCCTTATAGCCTGCACCACCGACCCTGCACTTGGCCGTGTCATGATCTCACCTGGGATGGAGGCTACGCTGAGCTTTCAGAAAGCATCCCCCACAAGTAACAAGAAATCTCCACCCACAGCAACTGAAAAGAACCACTTGGAGAACTTTGATGGTTCAGAGAACCAACTCACCAATTCAATAAAAGCCAAAGTATGCAGACAAAAGTCTGCACTGCTATTTGCTGACTGAATGCATAAAAGAACTGCACTTGGAGTAATTTACCAATATCAGAGTTAGGTCTGCAAAGGAAAATGGCACCTTCAAAGTAATGTCTCCCTTTTTACCCCTGGAGCACAGTATTTACATAACAGATGTATGCCACAATCCTCAGAGTTCAAACTTTCTTACTCAGTGAGGCCTTACACTAGTCAAAGAGTGACCAACTGATCATACCTTGTGAGGTTAGTATAGCTCATTGTTCGCTGTGTAAAAGCTCTCGCAAGCAAACGGATGTGCTTAAACTTGATTCCAGTTGATTCCTCAAATTTCTGCAACATCTTCAAGGATTTAGAGAAAAAAAACAAGATATAACCAATGATTATTTATAACAAATCTTGACTAAACCCTCAAATTAGAAAGGAATATCACAAAGTTTTTAGACAACCCATCACAACATAGTTACACAAATTGAGAAAACATATAGTTTTCACTGAAATTCACTCAATGAATATCGCCAGAGTGACGTTGAAGCAAAAATAAAGACCCCTGCGTTTGTGTATCTGCAAACTATTGGATATACTGTAGGCCCACATGACCAAACAAGTCAATAAAGTTTGTTACCCTAGAAGGATGGACTGCTACTTCAGAGAAAAGTAGAGTTTCTATACCTGTAAGATGTTTGAATACTGAATCATGTGTCGATCACCTTGTGGAAACTCCAGCTGCAAAGATCAGAAAACAATTCAAATGGACATCAAAGATAAATGAAGACTTTTAACAAGTTTCTGACATTATGAAACTGGGGATATTCTTCCCTCTGTTAAAGTGAGAAGTCTTGGGTTTATAATCCAGATGAATCTGTGTACTTTTATAAGCTGAAAATGACCTAAATGTTGTCATTTAATCTTGCTCGGACATTTCAAGTACCCTGTATATCTATTGCATCTTAACCCTAACCCTCCTCAGTCCTCCAACAGGTGAAGGATGCAGGAGGGTTAGGGTTAATTAATTTCTACTCATCTGAACAATGATTTTGTAACAAGGTCAGCATGTGATACAGCAATGAATAAATGTCTCATCATCATGCTGCATTCGAGAAAAGTAAATTCTTATACAAAAACAGGATCGATTCTTTTTATTTCTACATTTATATCCCAAACTCTTTGGGTCAGACAGCTTAACACTCAAGAGTTGACATGGTCAAGACATCAAAACCTTTCATTTGGAATGTTGGCTGTGTACCTGCAATGGGTGTTTAGGGTGCTGCATCCAGATTCTTCTTAACTTCTCTAAATCAAATAGAAGTTCACAGAAGATACGCCTAACCACTGGTATTCCTCCTTCCAGGTAGAGTGCCCCCATGAGAGCCTCTAAGCAGTTAGCTAGAGCGTGTTTTAAGTCTGAGCTACGACACAGGTCAGGTCCATGAGCATACAACAGGAAACGTTCCAACTCCAATTTCTTGGTGAACAAAACATAAAAATCAAGCAACTAATGGAGATTGTTGCCAAAAAAAGTTAACCTTCTCTTGCAGCTTAATAAAATTGTTTTTTCCCAATTTTGTTCCTTAATTACATTCAGCTGTTAAATACAATTAGTTTTGGATACAGAGCACAATTTACTTAGCTGATCAAACTCAAATGCAATTTTTCAAAGTATTTCTTAATTATATTGACAGTCCACACTGGCTGCTCTCATCAACCATTTAAAAAATAAAAGATATGCACTTTTGAAAATTGCATTTTGTGAAGAGCTGTCACCAAAGCTGTGAACCAGAGGATTATATCAAGTTGCTGGTAGTCTGTCTCCCCTCTATTTGATATGCTTTCTGTAAGTTCAATTCCACTCACCTTAGCTAAGACAGCTAGATGTTGGTTCTGTACTATTGCCTGTCGGTAAGTCGCTAATCCTCCCTCCTCCAGATGTGGAAACAGATAATACAAATGAGTACTATGAGAAAACAAATTTGAAGATAAAATTACCTCAGGATTCTCAGTGCCAAAGGGTTATTTTCTCTAGATTTTTCGTTTAGGAATTATTAAAGATCTATAGCTTCAAAAAGATAAATGTATGCAGATAAACAAGGAAAGGGGAATTCAATGAAATACACAAAAGGAATATGCAGCTTCTGAATAGTTACAAGCCATGTATAAATTATGGAAGTAATCTTCCATTTCTTGACTGCTTAAATCAACACACATAGTAAGCTGAATACGAAGATGTTACTTAAGAAATCTTGGCTGACCTTGTGACGAATTCTACCACAGCGTCACCCAGGAATTCTAGTCTCTCATAGTGATGTATGTGGGATGAAAGCTCTTCAGGAGTAGCCATCTCAGACATGATCTTGATCAATGTATTGATACCTGTCAATAACAAAAACCCCCTTTCAGACAGGTGTTCTAAACCAAATGAAAAGCAAATTTAGAATAAAGTACAGCAAAAGGTTGACATCTCAAACAATTAGGAGCAACCAGGCATGCTAGCAGGTGAAAGATCGACACTTGAAGGTGCTCGAAATGACACCAGAGTGATTTGGTTTCAGACGTCACTCCACTCATGAGCCAAACCCAGTACAAATGTATGTATAAAGTTCATCTGACTGAAACCAAAATTTAATTGGGTTGACCCAAGTCCCTCTTAATTCTATTTGGTTCGGCGCAACTCTAGAATGCCTGCCTGAAACGAGGAACAAGTCTGCCATATTGAATATATTTAATAAAGGTAATCAGTGTTAATTCCAAAGATGTACCCACTCAGGGCATGTTAGGGATTCATGAGAGAGGTGATGGGACAGATGCATTGTAGTTAGTTACAGCAGCAGGATTTAAATCCCTGCTCCTCACCTTTTTTCCTTGATCTCTCCACCTGTTTCTTCTTATCTCCATAGTCAGGTTGCCGGATGCCACAGTTATACAGTGAGTTACGGACATGATCTGGATTCATGCCGTAAGTGAGGCGGTATGATGGATGTGTCATAGCATGCTAAAAATGGATTCAAAATTAAAAAGCACCAGACATTGGCTACTCACAAAATTGCCATTAGGAAAAGAAAAAAGTCTCCGGTTTCTGGTCAGGAACTGGCTCCAAAAGTGGTGTGGCAAGGCAGCTTTTTTTTTTCCTTTTTTTTGCTCTCACTTTTTTTCCATTAAATGATGTATCTAACGCATAATGTCCATCACCACTGCATGTGTAAGTACTGCCGTTGCCAACAATGAAATAGACTGGCCCCCTTACTATTTACCATTTAAAAGCCTTTTCAGGTTGTAGATGTACACAGGGCATAAGACCACCTCATCTGTCTGGTTCCCAGATGTAAATGTGTGATACAGAAATTGCGTAATCTAAAAAAAAAGCCCTACTAAATGTATGGGGGCTTAGAGGGACTCCTTTACTGTACGTATTACTCAACCATACCCCATCAAAGACACGTTAAAATTACGCAGTAGCAGGATTCTTGTAGATCAAGCAAGTGTGGCAGCTTTGGACATCATATTATACCAAATAAAAACTGTTTCATTTGGTAGACTAGTGTGATGTGCGTGCTGACCAGAAACCAGAGACTGATTTGGGGGAGCCTTCTAGGTTGTTGGGTAAATATAACAAATTGCTTGACTTTGGGAAGTCATATTAAGGGATGAAAGTTATGACAATCTTACTTCATGAATACATGTATTCATCTTACGCCTATAACTACAATTCCTCTAAAAGAAGTGTACCTCCAAATCAGAAATCAAAGATTGTGAGGAAGGATAAAATTCATAATGGGATGATTTTTTTATGAGGACTTAGATTTCACACCAATTCTGAATGCCTCATGGTCAAATATTATTTAGTGGAACAACAGAATATACAGAAAGAGGCAACTCATGTGTCACATGTCCTTGAATTGTTTTGATAGCCAGACTTACAATACGAGTAGAAGCTTCCTAAGTTTTACTATTCAAGTCTAATTTGTTCAAGAGTTATGCACAATTCAGTCTTCAAAACTGGACTTGGAGAAATAAGAATTTCAACATCTCATGATCTTACCTTTAATAAGACTCTATCCTTGAATTTGTAGCCAATAATGTCATCAATGTTGTACAAGCAGTTGAAATATCGGATGTGGTTGACCAGCACTGGTAGCATCATTGCATGCTAAGAAAATCAAACAACATTAGGAATGAAGTTAAAATCAAGAG